TTAGTGCCATGCCGGGCTGGTGCTTGCACCTGGGGATGACGCCAGCCCAGCTATAGCTGAGGCCAGGGGACAAGGAGGGTGGAAATGCTTTTCTCAACACCGAAACAAAGCTCTTTCCAGAAGAGGTGAGAGCAGTTGATGCCGGGAACTATTTGTGTCTGAGCTGGCAGAGGCAAATTCACTGAACAAGTGAGCACCCTGCTTGCGTTCTCCGCAAATCTCCCATCACCTACTAAAGCCCAGAGCTGTGCTGCTCCTGCCCTGGGACGGGCCTCACCGAGCTCCTGCCCCAGCAGTGCCATGGCAGTGGAGGCAGACAGAGGCAGTATCTCTGCAGCCTTGTGTGCATTTGCTCCTTGCCCCTAATTAAATAAACATCCCAGAGTTATCAGGAGCTACCAAAAGAGCAGAGTCAACATTAATTAGTAACCAAAAAGATTGGTTGGAAATGGAATGATGGGAGCAAAATACACAGGCTTTTGTTTGTCTACTGCAGTGAAAGTGCAGAGGGTTCCCGCTCTCCCTCCCTTGCTCCTGGCCACTCACCTCTGGCCCCTGGTCCCCGTGCACAGAGGTTTGCTATGAAATAAGTGACAGGACCTCAGAATTGGTTCCTTGCTCTGTCCTGCTGTCCCTGGCCCCTCTCTGAACCCGCGTTCAACCTTCACATGGGCTGGGAAGGCGCTGGCAGCAAAGGCACGGCCAGCAGCTCTCAGAGCTGCCTGCACATATTGGGAGCTCTGTTCCCCCAAAACACCCCCTTCTTAGTATGGACTGTGGGGCATGCTGAGCGGGAGAGTGTCTCTGCCCCTTTTCCCCTGCTCTGACCTTGGCCTGTTTGTTTTCTCCTGCCAGGGCAGGCTGAGCAAACAGTGGGTGCCAGGGCCCCGGCCGCAGCCGTGCTCCAGCCCACACAGTCAGAGGAGGGCTGTGCTCCCGGCCGCCCAGGATGAGGCTGCTCTTCCCTACTCTTGTGCTGGTCCTGTTCGCTGCCGCTCGTGCTGCTGAAGGTGAGCCAAAGCTGGCCAGCCCCAGGCCCGGGGCCTCCCACCGGCATGGGGATGGAGCAAGGGGTGCTCC